ATGGATTTTAAACTTTATCAAATGGATGTTAAAAGTGCCTTCCTTAATGGTATCATTCAAGAGGAAGTGTATGTCGAACAACCCCCGGGTTTCGAAGACTATGAGTTTCCCGAACATGTCTTCAAACTCAAAAAGGCGCTTTACGGTCTCAAACAAGCACCTCGTGCTTGGTATGAACGGTTAAGCAAATTTCTTTTGGACCATGAGTTCAAACGGGGTCAAGTTGACACTACACTTTTCATCAAGAAAGATAACCAAGACATCCTTTTGGTTCAAGTTTACGTAGATAATATCATATTCGGTGCTACTAACGAGGTTTTGTGCAGAAGATATTGTCATCCTTACAAAAATTCCTAGACTCAATAAAAAATAAAAAGTCTTCGGAGTCTTCGCTTCTCTTCAAAAAACTGCGTAGGGGTGAGCGTGAATTATCGCCGAAACTTCTTGATGCCCTTCTTTGCTTTTCTCGATCCGAATAAATTTTCGAATATCGATTGAATTTAATCATCCTGTTTGTCATTCATCAAAACAAAAAATAATCCAAAATAATAAAGGGGTTTGAACTCATGTCCAACAATTTCCCCCTTTTTGATAATGACAAACATAGTTGAGAAAAAGCAAAGAAAGAGTTAAAAAAATACTTCCCTTAATTGATTCCCCCTGCAAGGTTAGAGAAGTGCAGCAAAAAAAATAATCAGAGTAATAAGCGGAAAAACAATTTTGAAAAACAAGTTTTCTCAACGATCCTTCCTTCCCCCTTTTGGCATTATCAACCGACAAACTTCCCCCTTAATTGTTGCTGGGATTTTGAAGGATAGAAAAAAAATTTGTAAGAGTTTTAAAAAAAAACTTCTAACACGAATTACCACAAAGGGACAATATGTTCTAAAAGAGAACCATATTAGCAACATCATCATCCACAAAAAGAGTTAGAACAACAATAGCAAATAACAATGTGTCATAAAAAGTTAAGACAGAAGAGAAAAAATAATCAAAGAGAGTTCGCCGGACGAGCTCCTCCGCCAAAGCTGTGACGCGGGCCACGGTAAGAGCGAGATTGCTCAAGACGAGTCATTCTCTCGTTGAGCTGGCGAACGTCATCTCGGATGCACGTGAGAGTATCGAAGATCTTCTTCACCCAAGATGGTTCCGGTGCTTCTTCTCTTGGACGAGTCCTCCGTTGACGAGTGACGCGCTCCGTGGCTCGACTACCTCCGGCTTGAGATGACTCAGCTTGATTCTCGTTTTGGCTTTCTTCTTCTTCTTCGGCGACTATCAGGTCCAGATTTGGTGCAGCATTGCCCTCCTCTCGATACACGATCCGGGAAAACTTGGCTTCCCGTGATGAAACACGTGTTCTTGACCGGCACCTAAGTGTCCCGAGTAAAGTCTATTTTGCAATGAGCAAGGATATGCATAATGGGGATGGCAAAACGGAGATGGGAAAAACGAGTGTCATCGCTAAGTGCAACGATAAAAAAGTGAACCCAATCAAATTTGACATCGTTCAACAGGACGTGAAACAATCGAATATCATCCTTGTTGACGACGCCATGGTTCGAATCACGGGGCAACAAAACATATGAGAAGATGTATTGTTGGACGCGTTGAATCAAAGTGAGATTAATGACACTCGGGTTACTAGAGTGTATTGTTAGAAGCGAAGACTCCAAAGACTTTTTATTTTTTATTGAGTCTAGGAATTTTTGTAAGGATGACAATATCTTCTGCACAAAACAATTTAATTTCTGAGGGATAAAAATTATTTTTGAGTCAGTTGAAAAATCACTTTTTCTCTGTCTAAAATATTTTAGTGAGTCAGTTTCAAAATAAGTGTGTCAAAATTTCTTTAAAACATTTTTAAGATTACACAATTTTCTTTGGTGAGAAAAATATACTTTAAATTTTTTTTCGTGTATTGTTTGACACACAAAATAATTTTTTGGACTCTCTTTTTCTCTCCCCTACTCAAATTCATTGAATAGGGAGATATTATCACAGGAGCGTGCCTTGTTATTCTCGTTGTCCCAAACAACGAGTTAGAAGCCAAAGTGCTTCCAATCGCACTTGGCTTGGGCCCTTTGTGTTTGCGCATTATTTTTCATTTTAATCGATTATATCCTTTAA